CGCGTGCGGCGGTCGGTGCGGCGTCGGTAGGTGGAGGAACCTCTGATGGTTTCCGTTTGTTATTGAATTTCCATGGTGGGAGGGGTTAGTGATGTGGCGGTCAGTTACCATGATGGGTGTAATGATGTCACTCATGAGGGTCAAGTAACTACCATGGTGGGGGTAGTGATGCGGTCCAATGCCATGATGGGATTAGTAATGCGGTCAAGTAACTAGCTATCATGGTGGGGGTCGTGATGCGGTCCTTTACCATGATGGGTTTACTGCTGTGTGTCGCTAATAATGAGAAGAGAGGCAGGAGCAATAGGGGATTAAAAGAGGAGAATTTGGAACGATTATAATGCGCCTTTAGGAAGTTGGGTTAACCATGCTAACATAGAAGTAAGAGCAGTGTGATAGGGGCTGGGAATGCCTACATAGAAGGGCAGTGTGAAGAGGACTGGGAATGCAGCAGCAGGCATGTACTGCGCTACGTACATTGCGGGGGATTGCAACGAGCAAAAGCGATGCTAGGTGGGTACTTGCCGTGTTTCAGTTGATTAGCGCGATGGACTGTACCAAATGCCATGTTTGGTGCCGTACCTCGGCCCGTGAACTATGAACGAGATAAGCAGCAGCAGTCCACCAGCAGTGCACAAGCGTGCACGCATTAGTACGCATGCGCTATTGGTATAGGATAATTGATCGCTAATGAATGGTTGTTGTTAATGTTGTTTAGAATGTATATAGTCGGAACACCCTGATGAGTGGAAGGTTGCTGGGCAACGTAGACGCCTGCCTCTGATGGCTACTGATGGCGGGGTGCGTAAATAAAGTTGCAGTGACCCATGGGTCGGGCGGGAAACTGTAGGGGCGGCAGGTTCTATAAGGCCTGGTTAGGATGGTAGCAGCATCCAGTGCCAGCTAAAGGGCTTGGTACCTGAAGTAAAGTAAATGAATGGCGGTGGCATTCCCAGAATTTCCCTCACCCACGGCCCAATGGCACGTGGAAAGATGGCTAAGGATTGGGGAGCAGATAGAGCCGTCGCTTCTTTGCTGTTTTTGTTGTTGTTGTTGAATCGTACATAAATCATATACAAGTCGCTGAAAAACTACACAGGGACGTTTCCACTGATGAGGCATTTCCGATCAGTAGCAACTCCATGAGGAGTCAATTGTTAATGGGCGCACGGAGAAGGGTGTGATGCCAGCAGTGTGGTCGGTTCTTTGTGGCACGTCAGGTACAGTTGCTCACGTTGCCGAGCGAGTCGCACATCGAGGTTGGTGAAGGAGCGACGACACGCGTGGCAGCGTGGGGTTGGTATCAAACGCGAATGTGGCGAGGCGGCCGGTAGCGGTGGGCTGGGTGCGGAAGGATGCATGCAGCAGCGGTCATCATGTATGTAAAGGGGACCAGCCAGGGATACCAAGGGAAGAAGGCTAGGAAGCAGGCCTTATTACTTCGGCGGTGTGGGCGGAAGAAGGCTAGGAAGCAGGCCTTATTACTTCGGCGGTGTGGGCGGAAGAAGGCTAGGAAGCAGGCCTTATTACTTCGGCGGTGTGGGCGGAAGAAGGCTAGGAAGCAGGCCTTGTTACTTCGGTGGTGCGGGCGGAAGAAGGCTAGGAAGCAGGCCTTATTACTTCGGCGGTGTGGGCAGAAGAAGGCTAGGAAGCAGGCCTTATTACTTCGGCGATGTGGGCGGAAGAAGGCTAGGAAGCAGGCCTTGTTACTTCGGCGGTGCGGGCGGAAGAAGGCTAGAAAGCAGGCCTTATTACTTCGGCGGTGTGGGCGTTCTTTCTTACTGGCGAACACGTGCATGCATTTTGGCATGCGTATAGATAGATAGCAGGCAGTAGATATTGCTCCGTCGCGCTCTTCATGTAGGTACCGGTAATAGTGCGTTGTGTACTTAGGCATGTATCGTAGCGGGTCAGAGTCCTGTCCAGGGTTTGTACGTACCTTTGTAGCTGTCTGTCTTAGCATAAATCTAGCTATAATTAGGGTCGTACTATTGACTTGGGCATGCATGCATACATGTAGCCTAGCTTTATTACGAGGCTCGTTTTGGCATCCATACATGGAGGATGAGGCAGTTGTAGTGGCCTTTGCCTTGGCATGTGTGTAGGATGTAGCTGTGCGTTTGCTTAGGCAGGTGTGCATGCTGCGGTCCTTTATTGTTGCTTGTTCTAGCGCCACGACTCACGAGCGAGTAGTAGATAGGCTGCAACGAGAGCGTGGAAGCATGCATGCATGCATGCGAGGCAATCAACTAGCAAGCTCTGTTGATTCGGTAGCAAGCAATATCCCATTGTTGGCTATGGACTGTAAGCTAAGCAACAGTACTTGTATTCCGGCTCTGTTGTTGGCTTGAACCCTGCCTGAAGTCTGAACCCTGCCTCGCTCAGCAACCTCTCTGAACCACGGCGGGAGGTGCCGCCGCAAGCATACCGAAGGCTGTGAGGTTGCAATGCCTAGCAACATGCACACGCTTCCTCTTTCGGCAATCAATCGTACGTTTCGCCTCGCGGCCAGTTATTTTAACACACGTCCTCATCGCATAATGCCGCAATGATACCTACCGGTAAGACGCCAGCCACCGCCAGGGGCACCTGCCGGCTGTCTATTGGATTTGGACGTTCGCTCAGCGGGACTATATTACTATTTACTAGTTGGAGAGCAAACGGCAAATGCATGCTATCTACATGGCACGAGTAATTGGCCCTTCTGGTTTTACTTCAAGGTGTGGTATAAGTGCCGCACTGAATGTTTAATATTATCGCCGTTGAGGGCGGGACAGCTGTGGTTCACTTCGCTCGTTTGATCTAGCTTACGCGCTTGGGTAGCACTGGTGACATACATACCGCGTATGCTGTCACCTTCAGACTCTATCTGGAAACAGATAGCGCACATTGGGACATGACGCACAACAAAAACGTTGATACTTTTTCACATTTCTGGTCAAAAGTTAATTTCCACTATATCTGAGGCATGCGCCGACCCTAACCAAGCAACACATGCTGCCTACCAACCAGCACTTTAAGTAGGCCCAATTACTTCGCCAATGCACAGATAGACTTGATCGACACGCACGGGCGTTACAATTCCTTTGCTGGCCTGCCCGCGGACGCTGACGCGGTGGGGGCACGATCGGCGCCGACCTTGTACACGGAATACCTGGTATCAACCTGAGATAATTTAAGCGTTATATCCCCGTAGCTCGATTCGAAGAAAACGTATACGAAGTATGCGGTTTCGGAGGAGCGAAGCGAAGGGATGCATACCCCGTTCCCGTCACGCTCAACGGGATCCTTTCAGCGCTCTTGTTCACGGCTCGGCCTTCACTTTGAACCGTCCAGCGTGGCGCGCTTTTGCTGTCACGCTCTTTGATACGGAATCTTACCAGATTTTCAACGGCCGGCCAACTCTTCGTGCGTCGCTCGTGTCGTTGCTTGTGAAGTTTGTTCGAGTTTGTGAAGTCTACTACGGCTATATTGCGTAGCCAGCGTGGCTTCACCGCGCTTCGATTTCGCGAGGAAAACCACGCCGCTTCACAACCCACCTACGAAGATGTTTTAGATAGACGTCTAAATAAGCGTATAAGAAAGCGCGTAAAACCAATTTATAACGGTGCACAAGCCACGCCACGTGCGGCGAGGCTAACGAAAGTACTTCCTTGCCTGGAAAGTAGTCCTAGCAGAGCCTTTGGCTTGCTGCTGCTGTTTTTTGTTTCGTTGTTTGGTATAGAGCTACCGCTTTCCGAGCTGGGCACCATGGGAAAGGATGATCAAGGTGTGTGTGGCGAGCGCATGACGTTCGGTTATATTCTGGCGCTGTACCAGCCTTTCCCTTGGGCGTGTCGCAGGCGCGGGTGACCCGCTCGACAACGTGCTCTACTGCAGCGGCTTACGTCGGCTCAGCGTGTGGCCGTGGTTCAAAGCAGTTGCCAGCTTGTTGCTGACCGAGCGTCAAGGTTCCGTTTATGCGGTTCTATGCTTCCCTGGGCTTTTGTCGGAATTCGTTCAGCGGGTCGTCGATCGTTTGCGTGGGTTCGGGCATACAGTGCCTGAGGTAGCTACTTACATGCTGGAGCTTGGGACGTACATACTTGAGCACGGCTTACTGGATCGAGTACGCCAGAGGAGTGACAGCGAGTATGTCGTTGCTACGCTGTGCGCTCGGTATGCTGTTGCTGCTGGTCACCTTCCTCCTAACCCACTCGCTTCGGTGCGATGGCAGCTCCAGCTGGGGGATCCAGACGTGGTGCGGCAACAGGACCTCATGCGGGCAGATGCTGTTGCTGTTGCGTTGTACCAGACTATCGCTCGTCTGCAACAGGAGCAAGCACAACAGCGAGGGCATCTGCCGAGCGCTGGTGTGCAGCGTACAGTCGCAGGAGGAGGTAGCTCGGGGCAGGCGGGTTTGTGCGGTACGGCTGCGGGGGTCGGCGGAGGCTCCAGGCTAGGGGCCTCGGCTGCGGCTGGCTTGGGCCTCGGTCTTTGGGCGCCGCTGCCTGGTTGGGGCTTGGGCCTAGCGGCTCTGGCGGGGACGGTGGGACTCCCGGTGGGCTTCGGCCTAGCGGCTCTGGTGGGGACGGTGGGACTCCCGGTGGACTTCAGCTTGGCGGCTCCGGCGGGGACGGTGGGACTCCCCGCCGCGGCGCAGCCTGGTTGGGGCTTGGGCCTAGCGGCTCCGGCGGGGACGGTGGGACTCCCCGCCGCGGCGCAGCCTGGTTGGGGCTTGGGCCTAGCGGCTCCGGCGGGGACGGTGGGACTCCCGGCGGGCTTCGGCCTGGCGGCTCCGGCCGGCGCGGTGGGAATTCCCGCAGTGGCGCCAGCAGCGGCAGCAGCAGCGCCGGCGGCAGCAGTGGGAGGGCTGGGATTGGGGCATGGGCGTTCCACTGCGCTGCATGTACAGCAGAACGACCTTTTGGGTGCACCAGCAGCGGCATCGGCTGCAGCCAGGCAGGCGCGCAGACGTGACAATGCAGCGTGTAGGCTTCAGCGGAGGCAACTGATGGCAGCAGCTAGGCAAGCTTGCCAGCGTAAGCGTTCTCGACTTGTGGGTGGGTTGTCTCACGATGATTACCTCGAGTCCCTTTCAGGCTGCCTCTGCTTGCCGCTTTTCCGTCACGACAATCCAGCTGTACCTGAGCTGCCGACGTTCTTAGAGACACAAACGTCTGCTTGGCCAGCTCGGGTGCAGGACTTGCCAGCAGGTGAACAGCCTCCCCAGATACCGTTTTCGGAGCAGATAACTTTGGCTTGTGGCCTCGCCGAGTTCGTTCGCGACAACATGCCATCACGGGTGTGTGCAGTCTGCAGTGAGTGCAAGTCCGCTTCAGAGGTCCGGGCGCTGCAGTTCAGCGAGATAGCTGGCGTTGAGCTGCTACGTGCTGACATGCGGCGGACTGCGGCTGTGCCTCGTTGCGCGCACGTTCTGTATTGGCGGCGTGTCGATCGGCGTGATTGCAAAAACCCGCCGGATCCCGTACTGCCACGCGGCTACAAGGCCGCTGGTGGTCAGTCGGGCAACGTCGGCGTAGTTGACACATCCGCTGGCGAGGGCAGCGGCGAGACCAGCAGCGGCCTTGACGACTCTACCGATGATCGGCTGTCACGCCGACGACGCTGCGACATAGACCGTCCTCCAACGTATGCGCCACGGGTAGGGGTACGGCTGTGTGACGATAATCCCGTGGCGGTGGAGGTGCCGTACTGCATGCGCGCGGAGACGGTACTGCCCAACCGAACGATGAACGTTTCAGCGGACGGCGTGGAGCGCTTTACGGTCTGCTCGGAATGCATACAGGCCTTACAGGGTGCGTTGGGTAGTGAACGCTGTTATGGTAACATGGGGGCCGTCTGTTTGCGAAGGTTGTGATCACTATTAGCACCGGCATGGTGCTATTTGTTTTCATTATAGATGATGGGCTGCCTCGACCGGGCCCTGGCACTGTACCTCCGTCTATTCCCATGCCTCTACTGACATTGAACGCCCCTGTCACTGCCCTTCACCAGGTGGGCGGATCCCAGATGGGGCGCTGGCTGGATGGTTGGATCCCGGCGACGTACCCCCTGTAAATCAGCATGGTCATTCGCTCGTACCGCTGACGCATCTGGAGAGCTTGGTGGTGGGCCTCGCTCGCCCTCACATGCGGCTGCTCGTTGTGCGGCAGCCGGGTACACCCAGCTGGCGCGCGGTGGATACCTTGCCAGCGGCGTTGCGTGGGCATACGCTCGCCTTTCCAAACAACGTGCCCAGCGAGCTCCAGCGTGTTGTGCCATACGCTCCAGCGGATCTGCCGTCCTTCATTCAGGTCGTGCTAATTGATGCTGTCAAAGATCGTGCCGACCTCGAGGCCAAAGTGCGGCAGGCACCATGCTTGAAGATGCGGGGCCTGGCTATCGCTGCATGGGCGGAGTGGGCCGTTCGCGTGAATCCAATGGCTCAGGTGGACCACGCTGCACTTCAGCAGTATCGCGCTCTGGGTGCGGAGCCGACGGTGCCAGAGCCGTTAGTGGCGCACGCGGTGGCTACAGATGACCCAGACACGGCAGCGGTCATGCGCGCTGCATTTGAAGGGGATCGTGCCGGCAACGCTCGGGTGCGGCAGCAGCAGGATGATGTGGAAGCGGCGACGGAGGGCGCGAATGCAGCAGGTGAGGGGCCTACCTTTTCCATTTGCAACGCAATGGTCCGAACGTGCGCGTGAGCAGGAAAGTTTGTTTTGACTCATCCTTATTACCAGTTGTACGTCCGACCGCGCCTGGGACCGTACATTTGTAGGTGGTCGATCGCCTGGTCCGGGTGCTGGTCAGGAGCCAGCGCCGTCTGGTCGTACGCCAAATATCCCGGTGACAGGTAAGGACCTGATGTGCATTGCTGCGCGTGGAGGGGGGTGGGAGACAGCGTCTTTACCCATACCGTGCTGTGCCGCCATGCAATCACACACCCAAGGTAACCCTTCCGACGTCGCCGGGCAACATCCAGCAGGTGGCTGTTGCGCCTCCCTAACTCCAGCTCCAGATTAATTGGAACTTTGCAGCTTTAATCCTAAATTGTTGCCAACCGCGCGCGTGCAGGCGTCTTCGCTCGGCCGTCGCCCATGGCGGCCGCACTAGCCGTGCCGGGCGGTACAGCTGGTGTCGTTGTGTCGCCTGCAGCCGCACTGCAGCCAGACGGATACATCGGACCTGGAGTACACATGCTGGGGCTGGATGACGTCGAGGTGCACCATGGGGGCGCATACTCTACTTTCGACCCTTTAGATGATAGTACGGACCCGTCAGCTATCTTGCAGCGCCTTCAGCAAGGTGGCGTGGTGGTTAGTGCAGCCGGTGGGCGTGGGGCGAGCAACAGCGCCTCATCGCCAACTCTACGCATATCGCAACTGCCTTCGCCGCTCTCCGTCACTACGTTCTCCGCGCACCTGCAAACACACCCGCACCCCAACAATTCGCCAACAACCGCAACGTGGTCAACCCCCGCGACGTGAAAGGTAAACCTGGAAAGACAGGAGGTAGGATGCAGCCACCTCGGAGTGGGTTTTTAGGGGCGTCGGCGTGTTTTGGTGGTCGGTCGTTTGGGGGTGGGAGTGGATTTTGTGGTCACCTTCACTCGCTCGTCGTCACCTTCACGTCCGGCTATAATTCTTCAAGGTTGGGCCAACCTCTCATTTTCCCGTCGCAACCCTTACCACCTCCGCAGGCCGCCTCGGCTGCCTGACCAATGGCCTCATCCCCACGCTGCTGCGAGCGTTCCCTGCCACCCTCGCGCTTGCAGGAAGCGCCGCGCTCTACGCAGTCCTCCAGGTACAGTTATAGCCGAAGACATGGGGGCCGCACCACCTTAAAATTCCTCATTACTCCCACTTGGTCCTTGCCTCTTCACCTCCCTTTCCACCTGCACCTTGCTCTATTCGCTCTGTCCCATCTGCCCCATCAAACCGCTTATTCACCCCCTCCTCTAATTCCTTCCACCAACCCCTCAGATCCCCCTGGAAGCCATCACCCCCAACCTCGTACACGACTAGGACATCTACGTCATTGCTCCCACCGCAGCCGCTGGCTTCACGATCCTTCGCAACGCCATCCACCTCCTCACCATGCTGCAAGACGTCCATATCCTGCGCATCATCGACACCGAGCGCGCCACGACCGTCGTGTGCGACGTCACCATTGGCAACCGCACCACCCACCAACGCGTTCAATTCAACAAGCGCGTCGCCCAACACAAGCGTAAGTCCGGTGGAAGAGGCACAACACGCGACAGGGCACGTCACCAATTCTATTGACCCCAAAGCTTGTTTGGGTGTGGGGTTGGGGGGGTGGCACGGTGTGTCGGTGGTGTTCGGGCGGATGCTTCAGGTGGGCTTTTTGGCGTCGGCGGGATTCTTTGATGGATGGTATGTTTGGGGTTGTGTTTCTGGTCGGGGTGTGGTAGGTATTCGTGGTTTCCGGTTCTGTTGCTGAGCGGGTGCTGACTTGGGCGCCGAATGCTGGTTTTTAACCCCCCCCCCTGAGTTAGTGCCTTATTTGTACGTCAACGCAGCCAAACTAATACCCTTATACCTCCACACTCCCGCTCGCACCCTCCCTCTACCTTTACCCCATCCGCAGATGCCATCGTCACAGCCTATGACCTCTCCGTAGTCATGCTTGCCGTCCTCCTCGACGACCCGGCAGACCCGGACCTCAACACGTACTGCCACGCCCTCTGGTTCTACTCGCTAATTGTCGGCGCCGCCATTTCCATCCCCAGCCAATTCTCCCTCCGCCGGGCGTCTAAGTACCACGCCCGCGGCTTTCCCCTATGGATCACCCGCTACCACCCGGTGGTATACCTCTCCAACGGCCGCATCCAGTGCCCGCCTACCGAGCTCGCATCGGCGGGCGGCAACCTCTTCGTCATCGCCTACGACGACTTCGCCGCCTTCATGCGGTGCACGGGCGCGCAGCTCCGCTCCCTGGTCAGCCGCGCCACCAGCATGGCGTCCACTGAATGGCGTGACCCCGGCAGCACACTCTCCGCCACCGAATGGAGCCGCCTGCGCCCGCACCTGCACCGCGCCCAGCTGGACGACGATGCCCACGTGAGTCCACAACTGAACGATTTAGGACTCTCTTGCGGAAAACGCATCCTCGTGTTCTTATCTTGTCTCCTTGCTATCTCTCCCAGACAACTCCGACCCGACCACTCCTCCACTATCCATCCCACCCACAGGTGCTCCACACCAAGTGGAACCCCGCCGCCATCCCGTGGATGGGCGAGCGCCGCAACGCCCACTGAGGGGCCGACGTTTTGCTTTGCGGCGTAACGGTACACTTGCGCAGCACTGGGTTTGGTTGGTGTCCGTTTTGCTAAGGGTTACACGGCTGGTTATATGGCACTAACTAGACTGTTTGACACCATGCCGAGCTGTTCAGTTGTTGTTGAAAGGGGCCGACGTCTTGCTTTGCGGCGTAACGGTAACGTCCACTAGATAACGACCTGCTGTACTTTTAGCAGGATAGATCCGACGGCTGGTTGCGCAGCACTGGGTTTGGTTGGTGTCCGTTTTGCTAGGGGTTACACGGCTGGTCACATGGCACTAACTAAACTGTTTGGCACCATGCCGAACTGTTCAGTTGTTGTTGAAAGGGGCCGACGTTTTGCTTTGCGGCGTAACGGTAACGTCCACTAGATAACGACCTGCTGTACTTTTAGCATGATAGATCCGACGGCTGGTTGCACGGCACTGGGTTTGGTTGGTGTCCGTTTTGCTAGGGGTTACACTGCTGGTCACATGCCACTAACTAGACTGTTTGGCACCATACCAAGCTGTTCAGTTGTTGTTGACTTGTTGCCAGTTGCCAAAAGACTGGCGACAATTGAACCAGGTTGTACGCTTGGCAGAGAATACCTGCCGGCCGATTGTACGGAGATTGACTCCTTGTAGCAGCAACATACCGCCCATACATTTGTCGCCTCCTCCCGTTCCACACCACATACCCAACCTAACTTTCAGCTTACATAACTCGCTTCCCTTGCCGAGCTACGGGTCGCTCCCGCCGAAGGCGGGCCTTACTTGTATATAATACAATAATTAACTTGCTTCATGTCACTGAAACAGGTTATAGAATTAGGGCAATAAAGCTGTACTGCCGCCTCGTCGTTGTCGTTGGGCCGGTCATACCCGACTGTCACGTTCGCGGGTCCATGCGGGGCGGTTACCACTCATTCATACGTAAAAGTAAAATAATACAACGACCTCTAAACGCCATAGCATGGCAATTCGGTCCATTGGTCGTCTAGCGTTGGCAACACTTCCGCTGTGCCTCGCTCTGAAGCTATTTTTCCCTCTCCGAGAAGAGGTGAGGTAACTAGACCACTAGCTTACTGGACGGAAGCAAGGCTATATGATGAGGAGCGAGGAACGAACCATCTTGCATGTGATTGCCGCAGTTGCGCCCTGTCAACGCAATCGCCGCAGCGGCCTGGCCGCTTGCTCTGATGGAACTGAAAAACATACTTGAGAGCTTCCAAGCGCCTGGTTCCTCATCTAAAAAGGAGCGCGCTCCTCCGGTACTTCGCTTCTCTTCAGCTGTCCAAGCCGCGACGACGGTCGTCGCTCTTTCCCTCCTGTTGCTCCACTCAAGCCGTTCTACCGGCTTTAGGATTGTGCGCACCGTTCTGCAGTGGAACGGAGTACTGCTGCAGGCTCTGGTTGTTGGGAAGCCGGCTTGCGGGGTAGGTGCGCCTGCAAGTGACCCATGGGTCATTCGCCCTCTCAGTGCCAAGAACCCCAAGCATCGTCCCTAAAACGACACCGCTGCTTCTCCTGTTACACTGCACAGTAGATTTGCGTTAGTGCACCCTTGCCATTAAGGCTTTTGTCGACCTAACCCTTGCAATCCTGTGTCTCGTCTTCCTCAGGCCAAAACCAGGGGGTCCCTTCCGCCGCCATGCCTCCATGCACTCCTCCGCGTCGCATTTGCCGCGGCCGCAGCTAAGATTGCCGCCATGGCAGCCTCTGTCATCTACCGACAGCTTCGTCTCTACCTTGCCCATATCGACTTTCGGCTGTTGCTGCTTCTTGTCGCGGGCTGCGGCGGGGGCGTGGCAGTCGTGATGCTCGACGGGGCATTGACCGTCGCACTGCTGCAGGTGCATGCCTTGGTCGCAATGCTGAGGGAGGTGAGGCGGTGGGGTTGGTGTTAGACCGTGCTAACGACTGTTGCGTGCGTGGCTGGAAGGACCCGGGGTCAGGGCTGATGCGGCTGCTTGCGGTCGGGGCTCGGGGCTTCATGCTTTCTCCGCTTCAACCCGAACGTGTAGACGCTGGCCTGCTTCACCGGCCGAGCACCCAAGGACCGCTCCCGCCGGCGACAGCGGGCACTGCTGCCGCTGCCGCCCGAGTCCTCCTTCCCAGCTGCTGTTGCTGCCAGCGGCACCAGCGGCGCTGCGGCGGGCGGAGCCCCTGGCGCTAGCAGTGCCAGCCCTCGTGAGACCAGCAGCAGGTGAGAAGAAGAAGAACAGCTTGAGCGAAGTTGTGGGGGGGGGGGGGCTGGCTCGCTCTTCAATCGGGGGCTTAAGCGCTGGGATGGCGGCCCATTGATCGACCCCCCCTGGCGTGAAGTGAACATGCATGCCCTGTGCCTGCGTCTTTCTACTTCACCGAGCGGGACCATCGGGGGAGACGCGTGCACTCGCGTACGTTACGCTCCTCAATCTGCTGTTTGCTTCGTTGGACTCTATGCCCAAGCCCATGGCTTTGCCTACTGGTACGTCTTCACCTGAACCGTGGGTCACTTCACCCCTTTGCCCCGCAACAGCAGCGGTGCCAAGAGCCCTCACCAGTCGCAAGTTCGCGACGGCAAGACGTCTGAGGAGCCCCGGGAGGAGGACGGTAAGATAGGCGGCCCCGCGGTGGATGGAAAGATTTGGACGAATCGGGTGGCTTTAACGGCAACCATTCCCATCCGCATTCATGCCCTTCGCGGCGTTTTCATGTATCGGTATGCACTAAAGGGAGTACATGCGTCCTCTGAACCTTTCCAGCCCATGCTCCACTCTCACTGAAAGCGCTTGTGTCCGTGTCCCCTCAAGCGCATCTGCCTTTGTGCGCGCAGTCAGAGATTGAGCTTTTATGCTCCCATGATTCCAACCTTCCTTGTCGTCATGGGTGTGACTTACCCGGTATCAATCCTCTCTCGCCCTGGCCGCAGTCCCCGGCGCCGCCGCGTCCCCGCCGGCTTCTGCCCCGGTGCTCTACCTCCTGCGGGCCGCCGCCGCCACTGCCGTCCGCAACAGCACATTCGTTTTGTTCAAAAGCGGAATGCAGAAAATGCCTCGGAATCGGCAGCAGAATTGCAGGTGGTGCGGAGCCGCCTCTTCGGGCCTCTGCGGCTGCAGCCGCGGCGGCTCTGACAGCGACGTGTGTTGGAAGGAACCGCAGCAGTCTGAACCAGCAGCGGAACCCCTGGCCGCTGCCAGCATCTCCGATCCTGCAAACATCGCAATTGAGGCTGCAGCAGCGGCTTTAGTGGCCGCCACCCGAACCGCGGCGACCGCAGCTGCTACATCCTGGACGGAGGTGGACGCGGAGAAGCCGGTGATTAGGCCCGCCCGCGTGCAGGCTGTGGCGCCACCAGTGCTCAACACACGCGGGCTAACGGCCGCGATCAGAGCTGGCGGCCGGGAGGTGCGGCCGCGGTCTTCTCTGTACGCCTCGCCTATACATCATGTGAATGTGACGGTGAAGGTAAGGTGTGATGGGCTGATGACATGTGAAGAGGACAGCAGCTTCCGGTAGTTGAATCCACCGGCGGGGATTTAGGCAGGGGGAGTTGTACAGGCTGTTGCGGCAGTGTCCTGACAAGCCAATGCAGTCTTTGTGCCGGTTGTTGGCACCTGCTGCTAGCGGTGTTCGCAGTGCTTGCATGCCGTACATGTGCCACACCCTGCTCCGCTGCACGCCAGCAAGACCCCTTCACCAGTTAGGTCCCGCTATCGGCGGTAACCCCTTCAGTTTCCCCTCCTTGCATGTGGTGCAGATGGAGACGCCCCCCTTCGTGCCCTTCGAGCGACTGGCCATCTCGGTCAAGGCCTCAGCGCACCGGGCAGTGGCCGCGGTCATGCGCAGGGCGGCAGGGGCGGCGGGGGCAGGTGCAACTGACAATAGCACCGCTGCCGCCGCCGCGGGCCCGGCGTCTCCGGGTGCGTCCTCCGCGAACTGGCTGGGCTACATGTCGCAGGTGCACTGCCTGCGCGGCTGCATCGAGGTGGTCCTCCGGCTGCAGGTGCGGGGGCGGGGGTCTCGTGCATGCATGCGGGCGAGGACGGGACGCATGCATAGAGGGCCGGGAGAGGGGCACATGCATGTGTGGGAGTTGTGTCGAGGCCCCTCCTCTCTCCCTCCCCCGTTCCCCTCTCCCTTCCCCAGTACTCCGGCAGCTCCCAGCCGCTGAGTGACTCCGAGATGGCTGCGGCCCTGGCGGCGCTGCAGAGCGAGCTGCGGGGCAGGGTGGACGCGGTGGCGGCAGCGGCCATGCCGGCGGACCTGGCGCCTGACCATGTGGCTGCTGGAGGCGGGAGGCCCCTGGTGCTAGCGCCGGAACATCCGGTAGAACGGGGCGGGGCAGGGCGGGCGGTGTCTCATTGTGGGCCCTTTACGGCATTCTAGTAGACGTGGACAACGATTTGTTACTATGCGGTCTTACCCCGCTGCGAATTATTGCGAATCAGCGTCAGTCTCCGCTGCGTAATTCGTGGGCATATATGTTGGAGGCATCCTCTGTAAAGTTAAATGGAGGCTGCATTGCTCTTGGAACACACGTTACGGTCCTAATTAGCTGTGCCTGAGTCAGCTGCCTGGCCCATGGGTCACCAAACATTAGCATGATGCCGATCAGCTCACTTTTGGCATCTCATTACTTCGTGCTGTCCGGTGTCCCTCTTTGAAGGTCTTGTGGGTGCAACCGCGTCGGCCGGCGGTGGATACGGCGCCTGCACCAGGGGCGTCCCTGTCTGCAACAGCTGGCTTAGCGGCGCATGCACATGCACATGCACGTGCGCCGGCCGCCGCTGCCGCTGCTGTCGCCGCCGCCGAGCCGCTGCAAGGCGGCGTCCGTGTGGTCTCCCTGCTCGTCGCCATGGACCCGCCCGCCCTTGTGGCCAGCGAGCCAGAACACTTCATCAGCGCAGGCAGCACTGTTGCTGGCGGTGTCGGCGACGGCGGTGGCAGCGCTGCCGCCGTCGGCAGTCACGGCAACGGCGGCGGCCGCCCTCATCGTCACTCGGCCGCTCGGCCCGCTGTCGGCGTCGCCAGCACGTCACTTGCCTCCGGCCCCAGTAGTGCGGAATGCGGCGGATATTTTGAGATGACCGCTCGTAACAACAGTCCTCGCGGCTTTATCTGCCGCAGCTGGATGTACGGAGAGTACGGCATGCGCTGCGGTACCCACAATACGACACCCACGGACAGCAACCGCAGCAGCTACACTGGAGCCGGTGCGGCGAGCGGCGCCCTGGGCAGCAGCCAAGGCGGCGTCAGCAGCATCGGCGTAGCCCCAAGCATCGGCGGGGCGCTGCTCCATCAGCTGATGGCACAGCATGAGGAAATGAAGGCGGAGGCGGAAGCGATGGTGATGCAGCAGGAGGCTGCGACGGCGGCGGCGGTGGCGGCGACGGACGTGGCAGCGGAGGAGGCAGCAGAGGCGGCATCGCCGCCGCTACCGTCGGCGTCAGAGCAACGGCCGCAGTCCGCGCCGCCGCCGGAGCGTCCCACCACCCCAGATGTCGGCGCAAGGGTAGGCGAAGGAACGCGGCCGCGCATTCGCCGCGTGAAGTCTTGCGACGCGGCGTTCTTTGCCGAACGCGCATTCAGCGGCCCTGTTGCCGGGTTCCGCGCCTCTGGCCCGTCAAGCGCGCCGCTGCCTGCCTTCCTCCGCCTGGTCCATGGCTTCAGCGACGGCTGGGGTAGCGACGAAGATGTAATGGACGGGGTTGCTGGGGAGCCGCATCCGCATTACGGTATGCGGCATGCAGCAGAGGAGCGCGTGGGAGGCGGCGG